GCACCGTGACCTGTCCTGACAGTGAGAACCATGAAACATCAGAGCAAGGACAACCTTTTATTCCCCTCATGGGGTCGTCGGCCTGTGGCCACCCTGTGAACTCAGGCACCTTGGGCCTTCCCAGTGGCCAGGGCTTTTATCTCTCCTATGCCAAGCATCCTGACACTGATAACTGGTGGGCACATGAGTCCACTTCAAGCCCTTGGTCTAGAGACCTTCGAGAGAGCTGTTTTCAGAAATCTATTATAGCTTTGTTCCCAGAAATCTCAAAATAATTCCAAGGCTGCCTAGCATGTGGCCTTTCCCGTTATTCTCTTCTTTTATTTCCCTTCCTTTTTTTTTTCTTAAAAAAATCAGTTCCAAAGATTTTGTTGAAAAGAAAAGCAGCCATATTGGTCTCAGATCAAAAGAAAAATATTAATGTGTTTGCTGGGTTCTGAAAACACAAACTCCACAAGCTTCTATGAGAACACGAGAAAAATCCATCCGCCTAAACCACTGCAATTCCAGTCGGGGTCAACATCAAAACATGACATGAGACACGGACAGCATTTTAATCCTATTTAATTAGGTGCGGAATAAAATATTTTAATTGTTGTTTCCAAACCAGCACACACAAAGGAGACAGTCTCACAAATCTGTCACCCACAAAATACGTGAAAATGGCCTCAAACTACTGATGCCCAGTTGGAGTTGGATGCTCTACAGCGTGGCCAGTCTTCACACCGGCAGAACACGGGGAAAGGCTGGGTGGACGCTATGCTCCGTGAAGGGCAATAAAAGAAAACTTCATCACCTCCTGCCTCTTCATCTAGCTCAGGAGAGCGGGGCTCGCATGGGTCTTGTAGAGTCCACAGCATTTGTTGTCTTTGAAAAAGGAGTGAAATTGTCAGTCCTGGTACAACTCACTCTGTGGCAGCCAATACTGTGCCTGGGTCTCACGGCTTGAGGTCCATTCCCATAAGCCATCTCTCCCATGGTTGACATGCAGGCCAGGAGACGCTACCTACTGGACTTTAGGGACCAGGTAAGCAACACCTGTGGTGTAAGCCACCCTAGGCAAAGATCCCAGCCCCTGTGTTAATTCCTTATTCCCACTATGAGCCAGGTCCTAAGTGATACCCGGTAGATAAAATTTACTCAGCACAGACAGGAGCAAATCTTGGGGTCTCATCTATACCCCAGTGTACCAGAGGCGTGTGATGCCCAACCTGTCTTTAAGAATACATGTGTGGAGGGTACCCTCTCCTCCAGGTCTGCATTTTCTGCCCAGGCTGGCTGCAGCCCCACATAAACACAACTCAGAAGGCTGCTGGAGTCTGCGGTATTTTTATTGTAATCCTCTCTGTGTAAGCTGAACTTGCTTTGGAGAGGTGTCCCATTTTACTGCTTTCCCATTGTGATTTAGAGGTCTCGAGTTTATGATATAAAATATTTCCCCCAGGAAGGGATGAGAACTCCACCAAGAAAGCTATCCAGGGACAGAAGGCTGCCTGTAAACAGTAATGACACCGGACACCCTGAGGGAACAACTCCTGTCCACTTCTAGCTGACCCCTGTCACAAAGAAATCGAATCGTGTCCAGAACCAGCGAAAGTCCAAGTCCCAGGGAGGTACCCCGCACTGAGGATGGGAGAGCCTCCCGAGTCCCCCTGGCCCTCATCACATTTGTCATCCTGTTACTGGCCCTCGGGAACCATGGCAGCAGCTGCTCTGGCTGACCATTTCCTTGTGGTCCACGAGCAGGATATCTCTCTGGGGCCATCCAAGAGTATGCGGCAGGAAGCGGCGACGAAAGACGCCAGCCAGGCTTTGTTGGGGTTACGTGACCACCGCCACTAACCACCATGCTCACTTCACTGAAAGCTAAGGCCTCCTCCTAGGCAACTGCTTCTAGAAGCCTCTGTCAGAATTGCATCCTGGTATTTAAAAGAATTTTCCGTTTGTTCCTTCTGGACACACAAGCAGAGAGAGCCACGGCCAAAGCATAAAAATCACACCTAAATTTTCTTGAAGTCCGTGTGTCTAGCACTGCTCTGACATCAATGAGGGAAAGGCATGGAGCCGGGTATTGACAGCCTCTGGCCCAACGCCCTTAGGGAACCCATTAAAACCCCCGAGGGCACTGTCTCAGGCACGCTGTCTCTTCAGGTGACTTAGAATGCTGGGGAAGAGCGGTGTGCGGAGTCGCAAGAGTAGAACCACACACTTGACTCCCTGAATTTGACAAGTATCCCTGAAATAAAAATTTGATCTCTACAAAAGAAAAAAAAAGCATTCGTTCGCTGCTTAGTGGGAATCCAGTGATGCTTCAGGGATGGGACACTGGGAGATGGAGTAAGCAGTACTTTGGGGTCTGGATAGCGATAAGGCAGCAAGAGGCACAGCCTAAGCACGGCCCCACGCACTAACGTGGACCACCTCGCCTCTTCCTGGTGCCATAGGCAGCATCCTGCCATCATGAAACCCAGCCGCCTCAGAAGAAGGTCCGGGGACAGGCTGGGTGGCCTCCGTATCTGAGCCCAACTGAAAACACAGCGCAGGGCCACCCAGAGCACAAAGAGGAGGCTGCCCGCTCTCAGCCTGCAAGACGCTGTGAGGAAACACAGCATCCTGTGGTGTCCGCTGGGTACCAACCACCTTACTCTCAAGGGACTGCAGGGTGGGACGGAAAGGGACCATTAGGAAGGGTTCTCTGAGACCACGGAGCACCGCTGGAGGAGTCTTTCCAGGGGGAAGGAAACAGTAACTCACCAGAGTCATCAAACCCTGAGAAAAAGTCCAGACCTAGAGCGATGCTCTGGTATCCATTAAAACAGAACCATGGATGACCCACCTGAATGTGCTGAGTGTGTGTGTGTGTGTGTGTGTGTGTGTGTGTGTGTGTGTGTGTGTGAACAAGTACACTTGCGTGTATGCATGCGTATGGCTGCGTGCTCATGGGGTCATACGATCATGTACACAGAAGTATGTGTGTGACTGCTTGTATGCTCCACAATGAACACAAATTAGATTTTCCTCATTCAAATGTCCCCTGAGGAAATTAAAACCAGTATTCAGTCTACTACAAGCTACACCCCCGGAGACAAAGGGCAGTAGAGCAAAGCAATGACGCGGGCCAGGCAATGACGGGTGGAAGAGACTCAATAAGCTTTTTGGGATTTTCTTTAGGGATTGGATGTTTAAGGGTGAATAAAGAATAAAGAATGTCAACCGTGCTGGTCCACAGTGGCGCATGCCTTTAATCCCAGCACTCGGAGGCAGAGGCAGGCGGATCTCTGAGTTCCAGGCTGGGCTGGTCTACAGAGTGAGTTCCAGGACAGACAGAGCTACCCAGAGAAAAACCCTGTCTCAAAAAAAAAATGGCATTTGCAAATTGCATTTATGCTAATTGTTCTTTTTCTCTCATAACCACTAAAAAAAAAAAGGCAGATGGTCACCACTGAGTATTTTGTTGTGGTGCTGTGTTTTTGTTTTGTTTGTTTTGTTTTGATGAAATGGGGTCTTACCACGCAGCCCTAATAGCCTTGAACTCAAGGTTTTCTCTTTGCCCTCCCAATATAAGGACTATAAGCATGAGCCACCATGACTAGCTTCAGTTCTGAGTGCTGAACCCAGGGCTTCCCTCATGCTAGGCAAGCAAGCTACCACTGAGCTACCTCCCAGGCCTCTTCTCACTTTTCATTTTATCTAGAGGCAGCGTCTCACTAAGTAGCCCAGGCAGACCCGACCTCAGGATTCTCCTGCCTCGGCTTCCCGAGTGCTGGGATTGGACGTGTGCCCTCCCGCGTCTGACCAAACTGGAGAAATCATATCTCATCAACGGAAGAGCTCTCTGAGCTACAGGATAGTCTATCTGCATCACCTGTAACAGCGACCCAAGTCTGCCCACCAGAACTGCGGTCTGTGACAGCCAGGGTAAACAACTTGGCAGCTTGGTTAATTGCAGGCAGGGGCATGGCCCTGGTGGCGGTTGATGTGGTTGGGCTGTTTAGATGGGAGGATTGTCAGGGTTAACGACTCACCAACACACATCTTCTCAAGGCCAGTTTAGTCTGTGTGGTCTTGATTCCCAGAGGTTTAGAGGGAGTAAATCCCTTTTGAAAGCGCTGTGTGTGTTTGCCGCTAAGCTGAACCCTCCATTACTGTGGGGAGCTTTTCCAGGCTTACTCTAAGCCTGAACTCTGGATTGAGCTGCTAATCAGAAGGCTGACAAGCCCGTGGGTAAAGTCTATTCCAAACTGGCTGACAGGGTATGAACCTCACTCACTGAGAGAGAGAAGAGCTGATCATAATTTTAGAGGCACTGTGAGGGAAAAACAAGTAAACAAACCTGAAGCACTGTGATAAATTTGTTTTGTGACAACATGAAACACTTTGGGAGCATTAGACAATTTGTAAAAAAAAAAAAAGACTGTTTTGTGGCTGGAGACAGTTTGGTTGGTAGAGAGTCCCTTGCCTAGCATGGAAGAGGTCCTGGTTTTAATCTCCATCAGATCATAAACCGGGTGTGGCTGTGCCCATCTTTAACTCTGGAAGTGGAGGGACAGGGGCCGGAAATTCAAGGCCAGCCTTTGCTACATAGTAAGTTCCAGGCTAACCTGGGCTTACATAAAACTCTCAAAAAAATAATATTACTCTGAAATTCATAAAAATTACTCTTCATATGCTCTGAGAAACAATTACCGATATGAAACTTTGGAGCTGTTAAGTGTGAGAATAAGGACATTGTCCATGCCGTCTCTCTCTCTCTCTCTCTCTCTCTCTCTCTCTCTCTCTCTCTCTCTCTCTCTCTCTCTCTCTCTCTCTCTCTCTCTCTCTCTCTCTCTCTCTCTCTCTCTCTCTCTCTCTCTCTCTCTCTCTCTCTCTCTCTCTCTCTCTCTCTCTCTCTCTCTCTCTCTCTCTCTCTCCCTCTCTCTCTCTCTCTCTCACACACACACACACACACACACACACACACGGGCCCTCTCTTCTTCCGGTCATGGCCATTAACCGCTCACCTTTGCAATTCCCACGGTGGGCGATCTCCAGTTGTGGATCTTTGCACTTGGCCCGCTGGAACTCGCATCGGGACAGGAAGGTCCTCCCGTCCGAGGCACAGAGGGGCTTCTGAGAGGAGCTTGGGCAGTCCAGGCTGCAGTCTCTGTCTTTGTCTTGATCGACCCTCAAGAACTTGTGGGGAGAAAAAGAAGCAAGAGAAATTTAAAGAGCTCCCATTGAGCAGAAGACAGTCAGAGCACAGACTCCGAGGAAAGGTCGCCGCTCTGTGCTCACACCTGACAGAAACAGCAAGCGAATTGCTTTCAGAATTATGAGTCATCCGTTCCACAAGTAATCGACCGCTGGCCACACGTTCATATCCTAGGTCTGGTGGGAAAACGCACGCAGCCCCTTTACAGCTAGACGGTGCTCGCCAGGCGTTGGTGGCGCACGCCTTTAATCCCAGCACTCCGGAGGCAGAGGCAGGCGGATCTCTGTGAGTTCGAGGCCAGGCTGGACCGACAGCCTCCAAAACAGAGAAACCCTGTCTCATAAAACCAAAAAAAAAAAAAAAGATACAACTAGATGGTGCTCTCCCACTCACTCCCCTTTGGAACCTGTAGACAGAGGAAGGGGCCGCCTACCTGAGGACCACTTAGGAACCTACAGATGGTGAAACTGCCAGCGTCTTCATGAAGCTGGGTCCTCCCCCACCCGTACTCCCGCAAGAAGCCACCCATCGGCTGTGCAGAGCCTCACTTCGGCGTCCTTGTCACAGTTTGTAAGAGTTCTTTCTCTTCCACGGCTTCCTGTCTAGGCTGGTATTTTGAGGGTGGGGTGGGTAGCCATTGTCACAGAAGGTTTCTGTGTCCCTCTTTCTCAAACGTGAGTCTGCAGTCATCGAGACCACTGCAGAAGTAGCTGCCTTGCCCTTCACAGGGGAGCACAGACCACGGAGTTCCACATGGCTCTGGCATCAGCACATACCATGGACCTCACAAATTGAACTGGAGTTATTTCCTTCCTTCCTTCCTTTTCTTTTTTCTTTTCTTCTTCTTCTTCTTCTTCTTCTTCTTCTTCTTCTTCTTCTTCTTCTTCTTCTTCTTCCTCCTCCTTCTCCTCCTCCTTCTCCTCTTCCTTCTTCTTCTCCTCCTCCTCCTTCTCCTCTTACTTCTTCTTCTCCTTCTTCTTTTTGGGTGGGGGGAATCACAGGGGTGTTGGGGACATACCTGGAGGGACTAGGAAGTGAGTGTGATTGGGGGACATTATGTGAAGCTTGTAGTGATGTATTATTTATGTTTTACTAAAGCTTGACTGAGGATTCAGAAAAGCAAAGCCAGCAACAAGCCTTGGAAGCCAGGCATACACCTTTAATCCCAGCAACCAGAAGATAGGAGGTGGTGGTACACACCTTTAATCCTAGGACTCAGGATTAAGAGATAGATGGATCTCTGTAAATCCAAGGCCACCCAGATCTACACAAGAATAGATATAAAAGATTAAAAGAGAAATATAGCTCACACCTTTAATTCCAACATTAGGGAAGTATTAACGACAGAAGCAAGGTCTCAGAGAGGCATCATTCTCCAGTTACACTGAGAAGAGGTCACAGTCTGAGACTTGGTGAGAGCTCGTGGATCGGCCCATTCAGTCTGGGGTAGAGGTAAGAAGTTAGCGGCCAGCTATTTTGCTTTTCTGATACTCAACTTGAAGCTTGAACCCCAATATCAGTCTCTGGGTCATCTATTTATTCGTGTTACAGAAATTCCCAAATCACCAATAACAATATTATGTTGGGGAACGAAGAATCTATAGATGTCATCGTTGCTGCTGTTTATAGTCCCTTTTCTTATTCACTCAAGGTCAATGTCTTCTCATAGCCTTGGAAGTCATTAATGTCAGGAGCATGTCCAGCAAGAACTTCAGAATGGCTCCACTATCAGAATACATGTGTGTATAACCTACTGAATGAGGTTATTGGTTTTGTTTTGATATTTATTGTTGTTGTTTTCTTGAGATAGTGTGTTATGTAGGTTAGGGTAGTTTCAAACTTGCTGTGGAGTCAAGGGTAGCCTAGAACCCATAATTCCCCTGCCTCCACCTTCCAAGCTCTGTGCACTGGGGTCCACCACTATGCCTCTTTGCGACTGTTATTCTCATGTTTTGAAAGTTATTGTTTTCCAAAAATGTTTTATTGAATGAATGTTTGGTCCCACAATTGAGAAGCTGCTGTTATCCCTGAATGGGGGTCCAAGGGTCCACACAAGTTCTCACAAGAGTAGTAGAGCTGAGACCCTCTCTGTAGAGACCATGGAAGTTAACCCACAGGGCCATTTGGCATGGTGTAGTTCCCAAGAAGAGATTGCCCAAGCTTTTGATCCTTCCTTTCCTCTTGTATGTCCTTGAAGTCAATTTGCTATGACTCCTAGGGAAATCTCAATCCAAATGCCTCTGCCCCCCCCCCCCCGCCCCTTCTCCTGAGACAAGGGATCAAGATTCATCTTGCTTCCTATTCTTCATGCCCATGACCCTGTCCTGTCTGGTCATGCCTCATGCTAGATAGAAGAACAAGCACCATGACTTCAAATGACAGAGGAACTAGGAGCCATTGCAGATCTGGGTCACGACTGCCAGATATTCCCCCATTTATGAAGCATTAGCAACGCATTAAAAGGGAGAAAATGTTTTAAAATGGGAAAGGAGAGGGGATGGGGAGGAAGAAGAGAGGGGGAGTGGGAGGAGGGGAGGAGAAGGAGGAGTGCTGGGGTTTTAAGCATGTGCTTCCACACCTGACTATGTAACTCTCTGGACAGCTGCTCTAGGAGGAGAGCCGGTTTAATTTGCATCTCTACTCCCAACATGGATTTTTCTCTTGATCACAGATGGCCCAAAGTGACTCAACCTTGTGCCAGAAAAATAAAAAAATAAAGAAAGCAGCTAGAACATGGGAATACCCAGGAGGTCCACAGGTTAGAACACCCTGAAGGTCCACACTGAGCTAGCTTTCTTACACAGGTCAGGACCACCTGCCTAGGGATGGTGCCGCCCACAGTGGGCTTGGTCCTCCTGTATCAATTAATCATCAGAACAATCCCCCTCAGACATGCCCACAGGCCAACAGAATCCAGGGCTTTCTCCTGACTCTATGCTTCACCAAGCTGACATTTGAGGCTAACTAGGACAATGGAGTGTAGGTCACCTGCTCTTCTTAAATGGCCAAATTTAAACTAAAAGGAAAAGATTTCAACAAAGCCACACCAGAAAAGAAACAAGATGTAAACACTCCCCACGTCCCAATACAGGAAAGTTCCTGCTGCGACATCGATCAGGCCCTTGTCAGTCGTGCGATGGGGTAGCATATGGAACAGTGTGTCACCGGTGAGGCACACAACCCCGAGGCTGTAAGATTCCACATGTTCTCCTGAACCACAGCCCTCCACAGTGGGTGTGAGCGCTTGGCGTGATGCAATGTCCCACCTCAGATGCCAGGACCTGTCTTTCATTTAGGTACAGAGACTTAGACGACAAGGTACCAAGGGGGAACAGGACTGAAGGGAGGACAGTGCTGGGGTTGGGGGAGAAGGCCTGCCTGGGTTCTCAGAGCCCATGGATGAGAGCTCAACTCCACTCGGCAGCTTAGAGTTTACAGACAGAGCTGTGCCACAAGGTTCTAGCCTCCAGGTTTCACACAACTGAGCAAGCACTGCCTCTAACTAGGCAGCAGCACATAGGTCCTACCTACAACTATCACCAAAGGAAATGGTCCCCATGAAGACAGTGGCTTAGACTCTCCTTCTGGAAGTGAATGTAGATCTCAGCTGTGAAAGCTGAACCCTTCAGGTTCAGGACTCAGGTTCGATGCCTCAGCCAAGGAGGTGGTGCTAGAGAGCCTGTACACCTTACATTCGTAGACACTTGAAAACCAAGAGAAACTACAGAGTGGCATACATTTTGTCATGAATTTCAGGACTAGATGAAATCTGGGGGCCAGAAAGACACCTGTGTGACCAGGACAGTCACGGGGGACAGGAAGACCAGGGTTCTGTGACTAAAATAAAGGATGGGTCTTGGCTTCAGAGGTTGACACCATATCACGCCCTGGGTGCTTCATAGCCTCTTCTTTCGTGAAACGGAGATGATAAAACAGCACCCATTTCATAAAGAGACGGTGTTCCGGAAAATATCCTGGGCAGATATGAAGAAGTCATTGACAACGAGCCCCACCAATCACATACCTGGAGTCCTTTATTTTAATATGTACGTGTCTACTGTGGCTTCATTCCAACACTCACACAAATACCACTATACTCTGTGAGCTTTGGGCAAACCCTCCCATGTGTGACTACGTCCGGGTAAAAGATTGGGGGAGCGTGCAGTAAAAAGAGCTTAAATTAGGTGAAAAAGCGAGCGTCTTTCCAGAAAGTGTTTTAAAAAGATGTAACGGGGTTCAGGGTAGGAAAAAAACAGAAGCCCAGCTCTGTCCCAAGGTGGCTAGAGTAAGTCAGGGGACATCTGGTGACAGCTGGACGGGAGAGGTTAAGGTTAGAGGTCACTGTCTTGGGACCAAGGATGGGGAAGATGTCACTTTGCGTGAGGAGTAAAGTGAGGCCACTTGGGATGCAGGTGCAGTGAGGAACCCAACCCCACCTCCTTGCTAGAGATCTCTGAATTAGAGTTCTGGACAGGACAGTAGACATCTAAGACATCCAGGCCATTCATGTTCATTCTCTTCCCCACCCCTCACTTTCTCTCCCTCCCTCCCCTGATTTTTATTATTCAATTTAATGGACATAGAACATGTCTTATTGACGTATTAGACATGCCCATTTTTGTTATTATGACTTGACAGTTCCTATCATTCTCTCAACTTCTGGAACTCACAGCTGGACTCAGGTATGGGTCAGGCTGCCCTTCTTGCTCTATAAGTCCCTTCCTCAGTCCCCAAACATCTCTCTCTCTCTCTCTCTCTCTCTCTCTCTCTCTCTCTCTCTCTCTCTCTCTCTCTCTCTCTACTCCTCCTCCTCCTCCTAACTGCTTTCAGTGGTGAGAACAGGTGTCTTTGCTCACTGCCAGCTCCTCTTGGATGAAATTCAGCTCATCATCAATACAGGTGTGTGTTTACCAGAGTCAGTGGGAACCTCATTATCCTAAATTCTTCCTAATAAGATGCCCTAGGACTGTGATTAACTTCA